GGAGAAGGCTGAATGAGTCATTCCCATGAAGAATCCACCCACGATGAACGGTGTCCACGAGTCGCTCCTCATCAAGAGAAACGCTGGGATTAAAAGCAGCAGCCAAGCAATAGTTATGGCGCAATCCACGCCGTACAAATCCCACCAACCACTTTCAGCGACCACTTTGCGTACTTGGGCATTCAGCTGCGATATTGACACGTTCTTCGGTAACTTTACAAGGTTTCGTGTCTCGGGCTCAACACCGTTCTCTGCGACGTGAAACTTTTTAGAGTTTTTTCGAACCATTTTCTTGTATCGGCAGTCCGATTTCATGTAGAACCTGTAAGACAATTTCTTCTGGGCGCACGTTCAAACCCCAGATAACGAACATATACTGCCAGCAAAACCTGCAAATTATATATATAGCACTGTTATTAGTGGGCGATGAGCTGCGTAAAACGGTAAATATAACACGGCCAGACTATTCTATTCAAATGAGTCTGAGCATTATTGATGTGACGTGTACATGTACATGTACGTCAAAGCACAGTCCCTCTGGTCAAAGAAATGTTTTCTTTAGTAAGGCAAGTTTTCGCGCAAATAGAAATATGCAATAAACATCTATCATGTTGTGTGTTAATAAATAAATAAATATCACATAGTTTTTGAGTGAAATACTATTGCATTACCAAAGTTCAAGGCGATAATACCTGATGAGTATAATTGTTGACGCGGGGTCCGATATACGTCAGTGACATTCAGACGACCCAAATTGCGCCATCATACATAGTCTCGCGTCTTCATCATCTCGCAAAGTGTGGTAGCTTACAGTTCGAGAAAGTTGAAAATGGCGACCTTCATGGGATGCGTACACGTTGTGCTAGTTTTTCTCACGTTTTCAGTGTTTTGCACCGATTCAAGGGAAAGAGACTTAAACCCTAGAGATTACCTGAAGCGGGAGCATTCTTTGGTGAAACCATACACCGGTAAGTCACGAGTTATGTGTCAGATTTTTGCACATTGCGCTGTTTGTGTATACGTTGCATATGCAGTCTGCTGTACAATAGAGATTTCATTTGTACGCCCTATTTAGTTTGAATGTTAGCAATTTACAACGATGTTAAAACTGTTTAGTACATTGACCTAGGTTTTTCGTATACGCATTCGAAGTATTTAGATGAAGATAATTAATACATAATATTCTTATGGAATATACTACGATGATGAAAACAAAAATTTGAGATGAACGCCAGAATGACCGTATTAAATTGCACCACCCAGTTTTCAACTTGTATTTTGTAAGTTCATGGTTACTTTATAATCGAGCTGCGAAATTATTATTATTTTTACTGTTTTTATGACATTGGTAACAAAATCACACAAAAAATTCAAAACAAAAAGACGTGGTGTGTACCTCGGGCAGCATGAGACGACCACCTGACATCCTGTATGCATATTGAGGTAACAGATGTGATGGCATCATCCAATTGAACATGTTTCTGTATTCTATTGTTTGAATATGTGATTTAATAAAATGTGGTAGAGCAAATAGCAACTTCTATAATTTATTATTATCTACGTTGATGTGTAATTATATGACAGTAATATTAGCAATTATGCATTAGCACAGAAAAATTTGTATGCACTAGAAGTAGTACTGTACACAATATGTGGCAAGGACTGCCTGTGGTGTTAACAGTACATTTTTACAGTAAATGGAAAAACCAACACAACCAGCAGTATGACTCGCAGTGTTGCAAACAAAATAGTGATATTTATAGTTTAAATGTATTAGTTGTATAATACTTATGGTAAGCTAATATCAATATTGCTATTTTGTTTGCAAAACAGTGAGTTACATTGCAAGACTGGTTGCTTTTTTGTTCATTCTCACAGTCGGAGCTACGTCACGATCCCCCAAACATTGCCAGGACCAATCACAAACAGGAAAAGACAATGAATTTTCGGATTAACACCTCTGTTTTCCCCCCATGCTAACCGAATTCCCCCCACGCTAATGAGAAAATCTTGTTTTCTACTGACTTGTGTTCCGGTCCATCTGTGAGAATAGTAAAACGAAACATATTTGTCTCGAGATTACCATGAATACAATTCTGCTAGTGTTACAAGAGATGCATGTAATTAATCATGATTTTTGATTTTTTTCAGTACCTCGGTAGAATGTGCATTGCTTAATTGTTGTTTCTCATGACTGCTAAACTATTTTGTCCATTGGCCTGTTTGTAATCATATTGTCTTGTTTTGTTGACAGGATCAGGAATGAACATTCCATTATGGGATTTCCTTGGCAGTACCATGGTTACCAATAACTATATCAGACTTACAGCAGATAGACAGACCCAAAATGGAGCCATATGGAATAAAATTGTAAGCCTATTCATTGAGACTTTAACCCTTTGAGCACCAAAGTTAACCATTTAAAAAATTATCCTGCATCATTTTTTCAATATTTTATGAAAAATTTTGATTAGGACCTGTACCCAATTGTAAATTGTGTTCATTTTGTCCAAAATTAAACAAGTTATGTTAAAATACATAAAAATATAGCACACACAGTGTAATGACACAAGTTTTGCCCCAAAATATTGATTTTACATAAATCAAACTAACTAGATTCATGAATGTCATTGAACTTATTATACATATTTAGGTAATGAGGTATCAGGAAATATGACATTATTCAAAAATTTAAAATATAAACCCTGAAGACATCTAATAACTGAACACTTACGATAAAAGCAGTTTGAAGTTAACATCAGTTTCACATCAGAGGAGCATTGAATCAGATTTAAACTGTACCAAAATTGGTCATTTTCATAAATTTTTGCACATTCAGAGATAAACTAGAATTGATCACATTCTTTATTTGCTAATAAATTGTATATTTGACACACTTGTGGCATACATGTAATCCAATAACTACCTTAGTATCCCAGCATAGCATTGAATTCATTTTGTGGTTTGAAAATCTTACTACGGTATACATATTTTAATGATGCTGGACTATGCCATCAATTAATGTACATCTTTCACATTTACAATACAACAGACAATGATGTATGCAAAGTCTTAGGTGCACACATACCTGTATCCTATAATGTTTCACATACATTATTATTTTACATGTACCGGGTACATGTAGATTTGATTTTACCAGTAGCAAATTTCACTTATCAGTAGAAATAGCAAAATCAAAAATCAGTACTGCCTGACTAGCATAACTTAATATTTTGCTAGCTTTTACATGAAGCTAGTTTTTTTCCTTCACCATCAAATATCTAAATTGTACAAAAGCAATGTGCCTAATTGTCTTTGGTATTTTTGCAGCCATTGTATGTGAGAGACTGGGAGTTACATGTGCACTTTAAAGTGCATGGGAAGGGTAGAGGAACTCTGTTTGGAGATGGATTTGGAATTTGGTATGTGAAGGATAGGATGGAACAAGGTAGGTCTTTTCTAGTTTAGTATGTAGACATTAAATTTACCGTACTGGATCGCTTTAGCAGTGTTCTCCCCAGGATGTAAACAGCGTGGCGGTGCCGCCACAGTGCTTCGATTTGCCGCCACACCGGTCTGACACCGCCACGGTGATTAGCAAGACCGCCACAGTGCTTTTTTCATTGGGGATCTCGTCACGCTGGTCAGCCCAACTGGCACTCAAAATTAGCGACCACGATTGTTATTTTACTTGCACACCGACCGACAAGCATCCTGCCATTTGTGAATAATAATTAGTAAACAATAGACATAGTCGTGTGATGTGGTAGCGACTTTAAACAATACAAGTCAATTTTGTAAAATTAGCACCTCTTTGTTTGTAAGTAAATATTTTCTGACGATAGACGAAGTCTTTAGATTGAAAGCTAAAATTCTTTCAAAATAAATTCCACCCCGATGTAACATTGGCAAAGCGGAGTTCACGATCAGTTTACGCTACTCAAGAAAAAACGTGTTTATTGCGTGATTGGGTAAAATACATTTGAACTTTTATCATCGTGAATCATGTAAAAACTCTTCTTTCAAGACTTCTTTTACATTTTAAAAATTGCTAATCACCTCTTTCGAAAACCATCATGCAGTTTCTATCTGAAATCCATACAAACACATCATGTTACGACATCGCTTTACTTCCGCAATGTAATTTTTATGATAACGATCATTCGGAAAACTTCGGGTTCTACCGGCATTACCATGCGGCATTCTGATTGGTTAATGGCGTTTTTGACCCACCGGGTCAAAGCAGGGGTCAAAGGATACATGCGGTCAACTAACGCGTCACAGCTATCATGGCGTGTCTGTGTTTTTCACCGAAGTAATCAAAAATAATTTCTCCCGATAAAATTAGTTCAAATTTTACGTTTTTTTCATATAAAAAAAAGAAGTATTTAATTTTTGCATGGCATCATGAATGGGTAAGAGGAATTATTGGTATAACTGGTGTATAA